TAGAGGGGGATCTGTCGAGACTTTTATGCTGACAGAGGGATGCAGTCTAGACATACCCTAAGATTCTGATTTTGTCAACACACACATATAGGGCTTTTCATAAACATGAAATTAACCATGTGCGTAAACTGTTGGAGGATCAAGGCCTATAATATTATAAAGGCTGCCCTCTTATCCATATAAGCACATAGGTGTGCGCATGCAAATGCAGACACACAGAGTTGGAATTATAACGATAAAAGAATATGCATCTTTTCAGAAACTTGAAAAGGATTTTGTCCAAGTCTCAGAAGGAAGAAAATATTGTTTGGTTAATAAAGTACAATTATTATAATGTTGGCTTTTTATGTGGTTCTTACCTTTTTTCCTACAGAAGTCACAGCATAAGAATAGCCTGAAGATAATCAGTGCATTCCTATTTAGGATGGATTACCTATGTAACTGATACTTTATTACAAACTTTTTCAGTGTTTGAGAATAGAATAAATTTGATTTGTAATAAAAGCATAATACATCCAAATATACACACAAAAGTCACATACTGGGTTTTTTTCTTTCATTATCAGTCAATTTAATTAAGACATTTTAATCAAACTCCTGTGCAGGTATACGTAGTAAGAATTAATCTTGCCAACACATCCGAAAATGAGCAAGCTGTCTGCTATTTTTTTCATTTAACTTTTTAAAGAGCATGCATAAATAATGCAAAATATCATCTACTCCTTGTCTAATTACCAGACTTAAATCCTGAAGCTTTACATATTCTCAAAATAAAAAAAAATCCCAAAATTACAAACAAACCCTAGGGTATATACTACTAATAAGATAGCTGTTTTTGTTATTTTTATCTATGGTCTTAACTTGGCACAAAATTTACCTGGGTCTTAAAATTAAGAGAATCTCAGCCTGGAAGCATATTTTACATTTATGATCAGGGGCTTCATTTTAAAAGCCGCTCTCAACATGAAATTCCAGTTTACATTCAAGAATCAGTACCCACTGATTTCAGTGTTAATGCCAAGTGTATAGTACTTACAAACTCAGGTCCTAAAAATTGAAAAAATAAGAAATAGAAAGGAAAAATGTAAAAAAGTAGAAGTCTCAGAATTTTTTTTTTGGTGTCATAAAACTCAATCACTGCAACCTGGAATATATTATTACTACTTTTTATAATTTAAAATACATTTACCTATGAAAATCTGCTGTTCTGCACCTACACCAGCTACGTTTCAAACTTATATATATATAAAAGTAACTGGATGCTTCTTCTAGCTCACTTTGGAGGTCCATTGTGAACATGCTTTACAAACAATGTAAAATATCATCTCTGCCACGTAAAGATGAAACTGACAAGATTAAAGAAATGGGTGTAACATGCATCTGAAAGGTATAGAAGAGGGAGGACAAGGAAAATATGCATTTATATAGCCTAGATGTGTGCTGCTACATGATTTCAAGTTGGTTACTGCATATTAGCACAGTGTGAAACATACTGAAGGCAAAACTTAGACCTGGTTATCTAAGGTCAAGTTTCAAATGAACTGTAACAATGAATTTATGCCTATTTATGTTACGGGATGGAACCCATGTCAAACTCTAGGGTTTTAGAAGCCAAATCAAGGATCCTCAGTGCCCATGAATGAGTTTCACTGAGATGATGGATTAATTGGAACTGAGTCACATATGGAAAGATTTCATTTGATCTAGAAGGTGCCGTCAAAAAAAAAAAAAAGAAAAAAAAAGGGAAAGGTTTATGAGCCCCTGTGAACTATGAGCCCAGACAATTGTACTGTTTCATTGCACTTAGAGCCAATTTATGTTTTTAAACTTTCAGCAGCCTTTTATAACAAGAATGGAATCAAGCTCAAGCATCAGTACTGATTGTAACAGCATCGGTATGGCACACAGCGAGACACAGTCACCCCAGTAGGTAAATCCCAAACCATTTAGGGTTCTAGAGTTCAAAATCAAGAGTGTAAACTCCACCCAGAAGTTAGGCAGTCAGCACAGATCTCAAACATTGGAAACATATGCCACTGAAGCCTTGTCTACACTTACCGGGAGATTGATACTCCTGAGATCGATCTCCCAGGGATCTATTTAGCAGGTCTAATAAGGACCTGCTGAATCAACCACTGACCACACTCCAGCACTCCACCAGGTTGCGTAGAGTAAGGGGAGACCATGGACAAGTTTCTCCTGTTCACTGCCCACAGTGGGGATGCTGTGATAAGTCAAACTAAGCTACATTAACTCCAGCTTTGCTACTCAAGTAGCTGAAGTTGTGTACCTTAGTTTCACTTTGCTCCCTAGTGTACACCCAGCCTTAGAGGCACTGCTTAATAAGTCAACTGTTGTATTCTGCACCAGCTTGAGTTTCTGCATTAGATGCAAGGTATACCACATGTAGAACACTTTGCAGGTTTTCAAGGAAAAAAGTCATAGATTATGGTAGCAAGGTCCATTTCTGAAAGACAAAATTCCTTCTTTTCCTCATTCACCCTCAACATTCCCAGCTATGCCTGTGGGATTGAGCTATTCCTTTGTGTAGAGACAATGGAATTATTTCTCTGCATATTTTTAATACAGTCCTCAAACTTTTCAGATTATCTTCCACCACTGAGAACGTTTCTTCTGATTCTTTCAGTTGCTCATTTATTGAAGAGATTATTATGGGAAGAATCCACTGCAGTACTTTTAAAAAAGCTTTTGTGTTTCAAAATAAAACTGATTTTCTAACAAATCTGTGTTTCAGAAGCTTCAGGGGGTAGCCGAGTTAGTCTCTTCAGGATAAAACTTAAAAAACAACAAATGGTCTGGTAGCACTTTATAGACTAACAAAACAAGTAGATGGTACATGAGCTTTCGTGGGCACAGCCTACTTCTTCAGATGACCGGAGGCTTACGTTTAGGATGTGCAGACCCAAAATAAATAGGGGAGAAGGGCGAGGTGGGAAGGAAAAAAAAGGAAGGGGGCAGGAAACAAGGAAGCATCTTTAGGTGCTTATAGGTTACCAGTCCTGCCTACTTGTTTTTTCTTTTTTATATATTTTCATGCCCTCTGCTCCTTGTTTCCCAATTTCCCCTTCCTTTTTTTCCTTCCTCTCTTTCCCATCTCCCCTATTTATTTTGGGTCTGCACATCCTAAACTCAAAACTCCAGTCATCTGAAGAAGTGGGCTGTGCTCATGAAAGCTCATGATACCATCTACATGTTTTGTTAGACTATTAAGTGCTACCAGATCATTTATTGTTTTTTAAGTTAAATTTGTTTCAGTCACTGGTTTCATGGAATTTGGTTAACCATTTTCTGATTAATGTGGAAAAGAAATCTTCATATACATACTAGAAATCAGGATAATGCAAACATCTCTCCATAGATTCCCTTGGCTGTAAAATGTTGAGTAGAATCAACCAGATTTATCTGGTAATGGTAGAGAAAATAAATGTCATTGTGCTTAGTATCTGACTAGCAGTGTGTGCTCTTCTTGACCGTTCACATCAATTTTCCTGTCTTTTCTTTTTACATTTTTATCTGCCTGTCATTACAACAGGAACTCTTTTTTTGGCTACATTCTGTGCTATTGAAGGTTCTGCTGGGATATAATTGACTACAATTTGAACTGTGTATTATGAGCCAAAGGTGAGGGCTTTTAAGGGTCAATGGTATCATTGTAGCACTTCTAACAAAGAGATTGGTGTTAGTTGAATGAGCCATTAAAAATATATATAATACCATCAATCTCAGCATGGAACTTCCATTGAGATTTCTCATCAGCAATAGTCTTGTCTTCAGACTCAGGACAGTTAAACAGCCCTCAGTCATTTTAAAAATCTGAATGTATTCAATCTAATTTAAAAAGAAAACCTGTGTCTCTCATATTCATGAGTTGACACTCAATAGTTCAAAAAGCTGCATAATATTTCAGTAGGTTCTGAAACATGCTATTTTTAAATTTCCCCAGTAGTGTTCTAATAGAGAGCATATTGCAAGAAGAGTCCTTGTCATCTGTGTCACTGTTTCCACCCAGACAGAAATCAGAAAACTATGAAATCCAGAAGTATTCTGATCTGCATTACACTCCACCATACAATTTGGCACAATTTGGAACTATTAACAGCAGAATCCCAAGCCAATATGGATCTTGAATTACTGAAGCTTTCACATTATGGTGTTCAGTAAATAATCATGACACCTTGAGGATTAAGGAAACCATCTTGATCAGCAGATGGTCTTTGCATTTAGACAAAACCTATGGATTTTGGAACAAGACAACAGTGATTGCTACTGTTAGATTTCATCTTAAGAAAAACCGCATCCATGCTTGCTAAATTGCTTCTTTACATCTACTATTAGTCTGCTCCCCTAATGGCAAAAAGCTACTTAAAGGGCTATTTCAAATCTAATCTACAAACACTCAGACAATTATATTTAAAAATGGTCAGAACATTTTATACCACTCTCACCAATTTTCAAATAAAAATACTATTGCTCTTGAATACAAATATTCAAGTTTCAGCTACAAGAGAAAGCAAGGAGGGATGAGTGACACATTAGTCTCATGTTAATTTTGGAATAATAGTTTAAATTTTGTTTTATTTAATTAGAATTCCATTATAATATCTGGACAGTTTACTCTGGGTGGCAGATTTTCTGTACCTAAGCCAGTATAAGAAACTCCTGTAATGGTTTAATTTTATCTTCCAATCATCATTAAGAGCCTCTCTTGTGTTCCAAAATGCAGAGTATTTGGATACAAATTTCCATGGCTCTTAAGCATTTAATCGTGAATGTCAACTTTATTATTCCTTTATACAAGAATTTGTGTTTACAGATTTTAAATTACCATCAATGGAACTAAAACTTGGTCAGTTTGTGTCATTTGGCACTAGTGTGAACAAAGAAATGGAGATACGATAGACTTTGTGGGATGTCCTAGGGCCATACTGAAGGAGAATGCTCTTGGGCTCAAAAAAGAACATTTTCCAAGACTCACTAACCTTGTTAATCTGCCACTTCTTTCTATGATATTCAGAGCCCCAGCAGCTTCTTCAATTCCTTCTTTTCATTATGGATCATATTTGTCCAATCTGGGAAGTGAAACAATAAATACCATGTAATTTATAGAACTAAATTAAATTAAACCAATAGCGTGGATTCTGAATATCTACTATCAAATTCTTGTTGCAAAAAGAGACTAGTATTGTCAGGGCTAGGAGAAGGTTTACCTTTAACTGACAAGGTGCATGTTAACTATTCTGGGGCTGTGATATGTGCATTTAGTCCAGCCACAGAATAGGGAATCTGGAAAACTGACTAAGTTTGTTTAGATAACCTGAGCACTAGGTGGCCAATGCAAGAAGATACATAGCAATTTTTGTGTATACACTATGTACAATAAGTTGAGTATTATTTGGGAATGGGTCTTATATGGTGTTACCTGGGGAACTGAGGTAAGCAATTGTTGTGGGAGCTAAGGCTAGTGGCAATAACTGAGCCAAAGGCCTAAAGCAAGGTGTCCCCCCCCAGAAGCCAGATTCGGCCTGGTGTTACGTATCTAGTCACCGTTGGATTGGGTAACCACAAATCAGGCTAGACCAATGTTTAGGTCCAAACCATATATTTTGAACAGTGGAACATACATCAACAACAACAGTGTAAACCCACCCTATCCCAGAAGAAAAGAAGATAGATAAGTCCTGGATACAACAAAGGGGAATATACTTTACAGTGTCAGAGGCAGGCGGCGATTGATGCCTGTGACCTTCTACCCTGCGGCTAATGTAAAGCCTTAGGGGAGGACGGCAGGGAGTCCCTCGCTGACAGGGAAAGGTAGTCCAGTTGAACGGCCCTCCTGCGGGTGGATCTTGCCTCTAATGGGTCGGGTAGATTCCCTCTGGGGTTAGTACTTGGTAGCCCTTCGACTTCCAGTCCAATCCAGCAGGAAAGGATAGCGGTAAATGAGTTCAAGTCCATGTGGCAGAAGGCAATAATCCTTAAGTGGGGCGTTCCCACACTTGCGAGGCTCTCTCTCTCTCCCACAGCTCGAACAAAATCCTTATACCCGGACCCACGAACCAAAATGGAGCGCCACGGGAAATGAACAAACACTGACAGGACAGATAGTGACTGACAGGTTACAATATGGATGGACAGTGGCGAACCCGAACCTTTCCTTGGTCAGGGTTTATAAGCCCTTCAAGGCGGGAAAAGGGTGGTAAGGGTGGTGTGCAGCAAATGGTGCCGTGTGCAACACTCCAGTAGGGAGGGGTGCACAGTTTCTGAGCGGTGTGCAGCTCATTTGAGTGCCCAGTGCACAGTTTTGCACTGAGTGCAAACTATAGTGTGGGGGTGCACCGAGCAGATGACTGTGTGCACTTAGGTTTTGGCGGGAAAAGGGTAACACAGGGAGAAGAAGGAAAACAAGATGGAATCTAAAGAGACTCCATCTTGAACATAATAGCTCTAAATATCTTTTCCCTGGCAACAGTTCCCCTCCTTGATGGTGGTAACTAAATGACAAATACTTGGAATTTATGTTGCACTGCCATCACAACATGTGTTCTCAAACTAGTTACATATATACAACGCATTATTTGGGAATGGGTCTTATATATGGTAATGCTAAATTCCTCCATCACACTCATGCAACCCCAATTAATTCACTGTGGTACTATAGGTGTAAACAAGCACAAGATTTTGCTTACTTTCTTTCAACCTGCCCTCGTTTTTAAAGTTCTACAAGCAAATTATGCTTTTAGATAGCAATTTCTAAACATTTCAATGGATGCTATTAACTCTATTGTCCTGATTTTAAATTATATATGGTAGCCAGGATATTAGTGAGACAGAGGTTATGTCTTTTATTGGATGATCTTCTGTTGGAGAGCTTAGCCTCTGTAAGTTCAAAAGCTTGTGTCTTTTACCAACAATAGTTGATCCACCTTGTCTCTCTTATTTAACTTAGTTTTACATTGTAGCCCAGGTTACATTGACAGATTTATCTCGATTTACACAGGTGGGAGATTAAATCAGGCCTCATGGCTCTGAAGGTGGAGAGAAAATTAGAAAGGAAAACTAAATGATTTTTCATATGCATGAATGTGAATACCAAAGACACCCGCAGTTCTGGAATCTTTACAACTACTGTAGTTGGAAGGCAGTGGTGTTGCTCCACTACAGTGATTCCTGCCTTCATCTTGAATTCTTCTAATTGTAATCCTTAGCTAATGGGGTCTTGGCTTTTTCAACTTGCTTGTTTTAGAACTCTGGCCCCAACGGCATTATACACACTTTAAGACAACGTTGTTGTCTAATTGGCGTAGAACCAGACTTGACCTCGAGGTGAAACTGGGCTAAATGAGTGGAGCATCAAGAATGGCAAAGACATTTCTCTAATTCAGCCACCAAGCTGTTCACAATAACAGAAACTTACAGAGAAAAATAGCCAAATTTCCAAGGTCATGCAATTTTATTCAGTGCTACCAAGTGTCATGTATCCGTTGGGACACATACACCTCTGGCAAGCACAGTCAATTCTGCATCTCCCTTGCATTTAAAGGTAGTTTTGTAAAACTTTTATTGTATTTGTAAAGTTGTAAGATTTTAGGGGAAAGTCACATAATTTTTTGGTAACTATCAGAACGGCAATAAATTACTTATAATATACTACTACAAAATTTTCTGATGCTGGTGCAAAAAAGCCATAGGACTATGGCAATGTGCACTAGTGAACTTTCAGTGTGGGGTAGCAGGGTCCGCATGTACAGAATGTGAGTGCTCTGTATATTCATATACCAGATTACTGCGTACTAACTAGCCGTGTAGACAAGCCAATAGATAAAACGGGGATAGCACTTAATGACAGAGGTAGTATTATCTCAGATGTTTTTCTGGGCAAGGTCAATTAACTGTTCTGCCATTACACACTAGGACCTCCTATCATCTATTATTGCATGGCAGGCTATAATAATGTACATTTACACCCCAACTTGTGGCATACAAACTAGCTGTTTAGACAAGCCTTACAGTGTGTATATTGTCCCCATCACTATAGTATCTGACTGCCTCAAAGTCTACCTGTATTTATCTTCCCACTTTATGGGGGGAATGGAGGTCTAGAGAGATTAAATGACACATCCAAGATCACACAGAAAGGCTGTAGGGGAGCAAGGACTGGGATCTAAGATTCTGAAGTCTGAAGCTAGTGCCCTAATCACTAGAACATTCTTTTTCTCTATCCATCCCTGGACAGGGGAATAAAAAGACAATGACAAATATAAATAGAGTTTAAATATCTGGCTGCAACTTTAAATAAAGTTCTAATTAAAGCTTGTGAACTAACCTGTATGTTAACCAATTCCCTATGAGGCATCATATCTGATGATGTAGCAATAACACATCTCTGAGAAGCCTAAGCAAAAGGAGGCACAGTCTCGATCAAATTGCACAACCCATGTTGTCTTTTCCTTTATACAAATTTAGACACCTGTATGTACAATAGAGGTTTATCTGGCATAGTACTCTTTTCACCAATGGCAGCTCTTCTAATTTACAATATAGTTTCACTTCAAAATCTACCAGAGGATGAGCTGTGCTACACAGAAATTTGTCCTAGTCATGTTTTAGGTAGCTATTTGATTTTGCAATAATGAAGCAGAAATATACATATATATATATATATATACACATGAAGTATAGGTAGAGAGCAGGGAGGGAAAAGATAATACAGAGAAAAATCAGGCTTATGTAGATGAATTCACATCAATTAAAAGGAAATATTGATTCCTGGAAATATATTATTATATAACAAAGCTTTGCATACCAATATAATATATGCAATATATTGTGTCTTCCCTGATTGATGGTGGAATATTTCAATAGGTGGATTAAAAAAGAAAGATACTCTTAATTAGATGAGGGTAAAACTCAAGAATAAGCAGATTTTCACATTAACCAGGGTTGGACCCCGATTTTTGTATTTCATTTCCTTTTCCAAGACAAATAGTTCAGAGAAAACATCAATCACAGAGCATATAAACAGATTGGAGCATGCTTAAGACTAAAGCCTGAAGCCAAACTGGCAATAGCTACTTTGGGTCAGGTCCAGCTATTTTTCCACTGTATGTATTGATTTGCTTATTCTGAGTGTGATGTATGTATAATTAAAAAACACTAAACAAAAGGCAACAAATAAAGATGCAGATTTTGCACAATCTTAAACACTGGGGGATAGATAATAATCAAAAGGTAATGTCACACCTGATACACCATATGTCCAGAGATTTCATTTTAAAACAATTTTTTTCTTAATTGCAAGGATTTACAATAATTTGCATCTAGTTATAATGCTGTAAATCTATTTTATGAGCATCCAGTGACTCAGATTGGGGACTGAATGGCCACTATGCTACCTACCATAGAATGGCAGGTTATGAAAACCTAACAGCAGATCTTTTCAATAAGCTACTTTTAAGAACTGACTTATCACACTGATGCTTCTCTTTTTAGATATGCCTCCTAAATAATTATTTGTGTTAAGAAACATAGGATTCCAGTATGTTACACATGAATTTTTATTACTGCCATTTTTCCTCATTGTTACTGCACCTTAGTCTGCGTTATTTTATGGATTTAATTTGAAAATCAGTTTTGTTTGCAAGAGATCAACTGTTATGAATCACAGTATATATCATCCTAAGAACAATTGAACAAGACATGAATCTGCTCAATTTTTCCTCTCTTCCTCTGTTGATTATACCAACATTTAGGCTGTGTCTACATTGGCACCTTTTTCCGGAAATGCTTAAAACGGAACAGTTTTCCGTTTTAAGTATTTCCGGAAAAGGAGCGTCTACATTGGCCCCGGAGTTACCGTTATAATAATGCGCTTTTCCGGAAAAGCAGAAGCCCGGAGCCATTTTGAAGAGGGCAAAGGCCACCAGACCTTTCCGGGGGCGGGGCCAGAGCGCCGTTCAGACACACGCTTAAAGGGGTTTTGCTGGACAGCCGTTTGTCTCCTGCTCCGGTGCCTTGGGGCCTCTGCCAGGGACTGGCACCCTTAGCAGGGTCGGTGGTTGCCCTCTGAGTTTTGGAGACACCACCCTTTGGCCCCCAACTGCTTTTCCCTGAGTTTTGTTTTTTCTGCCCCGCTCTGTCTGCTATGGAGCCGTGGGTGGCCACGTACTTGCTTGGGCCCCCGTTTCAGCTGTACAAGTGCCTGCTGCTCGTGCTGGAGGCCAGTGCCATGGTGTACATGTAGCAGGAGGCAGAGATCGCCTTGGACTCCCTCACCAGGGAGGCCCTGGCAACCATGTCGCATCAGCACCCCACCGTAGAGAGGCCCATCTGGAGTTTGGAGAGCAGCACCGACTGGTGGTACCGGGTGGTCCTCGGACTATGGGACGACCAGCAATGGATCAGGAATTTCCGGATGAGAAAGAGGACCTTCCTGCAGCTGTCCACCTGGCTCACCCCCGTGCTGCAGAGAGCCGCCACCCGGCTGCAGGCACCCATCCCTGTGAACAAGAGGGTTGCCATTGCGTTCTGAAAGCTGTCCACACCGGACAGCTACCACTCAGTGGCACAGCAGTTCAGGGTGGGAAGATCAACCGTCGGAGTGATCGTCATGGAGGTAAGTTCCAGGGAAGTGGGGAGTGGGATAGGGGGAGGGTGCTGAACTCCAGGCCCAGGGACAGCAAGACTCCAGGCTGGGTCACCCAGGGGTTTGGGCCGCCCCTCCCTTGCACAGGCCCGGTGGTGGTGGGGGGACCGTGGGGCGAGGGGGGCCCTGGTGCGTGCGTGTGTGTGTGTGTGTGTGTGTGTGTGTGTGTGTGTG